TACATATTTAAAGAACGCAATGATAAACCACTGTCATATTGCCAAAAAATCCCAAATAAATTAAGACTTGGTGGAATCTTATCCATTTTGTGAGCCAACAGACCAATGTTTTTCAAACTTGGCAACTCTAAGATATGTGGCTTCAATTCTCAGAATTTTCCAGCCAGCAATATTAGCCAAAAGAAACGAAGCACAGAGGCAATTCTGCAGCAATACCTGCCTTCCGTAATGAGGCTCCTCCCCACCAAGATCCAGCTGGCCTCTTGTTTATAAAGGCCTTGAAGACCTGGCTCTTCTTTCAGGCTTTTGACAAGAGAGAACAGTGACCCTTTGCTCTGTTCCTGGCCGGTTTGTAATTTTGACATCTTTTATTTTTCACTTACTATTATATAGGTTTTTTACTTGTTTGGAACTATCCAGAATTATTAAGCACCAAAATGAATTAATTTTAGAATTGTAAGCCGCTTAAGAGCCTTGGTAGTACAGGGGTTTAAGGCACCCTGTTATTAAGCTTATTAAGACCAGCTGCCTGCAATTACTGCAGGGTTCGAATCTCGCCAAGGCTCAAGGTTGACTCAGCCTTCCATCCTTTCTAAGGTAGGTGAAATGAGGACCCAGTTTGTGGGGGCAATAAGCTGACTTTGTATAAATATACAAAAGGATGAAGGCTATTGCTGAGCACATTGTAAGCCGCCCTGAGTCTTCGGAGAAGGGCGGCATATAAATCAAATTAAAAAAAAAAAAGTCACTGGCTAAATTAGTAGCTGAGATGGGCAGTTATAAATATTGGATGAATAAACAAATTCCAAAATCAAATTGAAGCTGACAAAAAGAAAAAGAAAATATGCTCTTCTCTCACAGAAATTATATTCTATTATTCTTGAATATTTTATCTATATTTCTGTCAAGATTGAATCACTTTGCTTCATTCAAATCCTAATGCTTTTCAATTTGCCAATGGACTGGGGGGAAATGGAATGCGGAGACTGTATGCAGAGATCATGAGAGTATGGAAACCATCAAGGTCATGACAGGTCTCAGCAGATGCTGAGAAAGTGATGGACTGTTCACATAACAAGAGGACATTTCATAATTGGACAATGTGATCAACCCAGGTGGGAAGAAGGAGAAGCTATTGTTTAACTAGGCAAGTATGTGTGCAGGAAAATCAGAGCTGGTTTTGTTTCTTCAGTACCAATATGGTGTATCCAATAAAGTTTTACTTTTGGGAATTCAATTCTCCCGAGAGTGTTTCCTTGTTTTGGGTTTACTAGTTGGACAGCTGACATTTTGAACTAGGACTTAATAAATAATGTATTGCTTAAGACTGTCGATTAGTTACCGTGTATCCCTGAAAATAAGACTGGGTCTTATATTAATTTTTGCTCCAGAATATGCATTAGGGCTTATTTTTTGGTTAGGTCTTATTTTGAGGGAAATATGGTACTAAATGCATCCATTTGGCTGACAACCTTAACTGGGGCTTATTTTGGGGGTAGGGTTTATATTATAAGCATCCTGAAAAATCATGCTAGGACTTATTTTCCGGTTGGGTCTTATTTTTGGGGAAACAGGGTAGATGGATCAAAATTACAACCAAATCTATTCATCATTGCAATCATATAGAATTTAATCCTAGGAATCTGATCTTAGATAAAAAATTGTACATATGACAAAACCTTGTTTGGAGAAATGCTCAGAAAATAATTCACAACATTGAATAGATTTCTAAAAATACTGATTTTAAACACTCACATCATAACTTATGACAACAATCTGGCATTTTTCATAACATTTTGCAAAGATTGTCCAGGGATTCATTAAGGAGAACAACGAAGAAATTATTTATACTGGATCAAGGGCAATTGCCAAGATGTTTGTTTTTAATGAGCAAGTATATATGACTCCTCCCTCTTCAGTGCATATCCATGCAACCAGATTGCCATGGTGCTCTGTTGCCACCAGCATTAACACTATCTAAATGAATGCAATAATAATTAAAAGTACTGTTTTGATTTATATTCATCAACATATTCCTGGTATAAAGAATTTTAAAGAATATTTTATGTGCCTCATATTCTAGTCACTTCAAAAGTACCTCTTTAAAAACAAAAAGAAATTATGAAAGGTATTGCTTTACCCCAAGGTATCAAAGATTGTACAGCTAGGAAAAGGGATGTTATGCTTAGATATTAATATACTTAAAAGATTTGTGTTAAGAGATATACGTATGGGGGTGGATTATGAGTAGAATAAATGCCAAATTAGGATTTATTATATAGTTTCATAGCCAAATGTTGTTTGAAATGTATAGTATGCGGGGGACATAATAATAATGTTAGAAAGAAATATTTAGCACATAGGGGGTGGTGTAAAAGGGTGGTAAAGTATTATATAATGTGATATTAATTTGGATTTCATCTTGCAGAAGCCATGGGGGGAGGGGAGGGGGAGGGGGGTTAGGGAGTGGGGGGGGAAAGGGGGAAAATTTGTATTTGAAAAACTTTTTCAATAAAAAAAAAGATTGTACAGCGGCAGCGCTATAACAGAGGCAAACATTGCTTCAGAACATATTACTCTAGCACAGATGACTATAGAAGTTTGGCAGGATATCTATAAAGCGCACAAATATTTCCTATGGGATCAGCTGAGCACTCTATTGCAATCATTTTAAAATACTATGCATCCCTGCAAGGAAAACTTCTCTGCCAGTTTCTGATCTTCTGTAGAATTTGAAGACATGGAATTCAATATTCTCCAGAAAGCAAGGGAAAATAGTAAATACATACAACAGCTAATTCAAAAACTAAACCATACTTCTGCCTGTATAAAAACATCTGCCAGCCTGGCAGTTAGCAAAGGAGAAATCTTGTCCTTTATTTTTTTTCAAAGGTCCATGGGCTACCTCCAGAATGAAGAAAAGTGTATTCAGGGACCCTGAAATATTATCTCTGCAGCATCACAGTACAGTTTACTGTGACATAATCTGAAATAGCTGGCCACAACATTTAGCAAACCAGACTTTTTAGCCAGAGAAACAGATATCTCAGTAATAAAGTTCTGGTGCCTAATGCTAATATCAGTAAAGATGCTACAGTGCTGAATATCACCCTAGTGATTATCAAATAACAGCAATTTTTCAAACAAATCATTTATAGATACTTAGGGAAGACAATAAAGTATTAGAAACATTGGGTTGATGTTGCTGCTATGATTGGCAAAAAGAAATTGCAGGGCTTAGAAGGACTGAACTACAGTATAATTTCTTATAATCATATGTGGGTGTGTAGGAATTTTAATAGAGATAGCTCCTCTTCTTTGCAACTATACACAGTAGAAAGCATGAAAAAGAGACTATATTTTACAATTACATTAGAACATGTTGATCTAACCCATCACAATGATATATATTAACAGTGATATGTATATTTATAGGAAACTTACTTTTTCTTTCAGAAAAGGCAGAATGGAATGGAAGAATCTCATATTGAAGGGAAGAACCTCATATTTCAATGGGATTTATATTGCATTATTCTTTTTTAAAAAAAACTCTATTGAATCAGTTAAATCTACCGGTAATTGGGACTTTAATAAAATTATAATTTAAACAATATCCCAATATTAAATACAGCTAATATTGTTTTAGTAGTAAGGAGCTTGTTACTTATATGAAACCCATTATTTATGTTTAATTCATTGCAAACCAAAACACAGTTTGCATACTATTATGGAATAGCAGGAATATTGTCATTTTCAGTAATATTCTAATAAAAAGTTTGCTGATATAATCAAATGCATATTAAGATTTTAAAAAATATTATGGTTTTTCAAATGTATTATTAGAAATATTATTGAATCAAAAAACTGTATTACTTCATACTAATCTATTTCTAATAAAATCCCTCCCATGTCTACTAATCTATTTCTAATAAAATCCCTCCCATGCCTTTACTTTCTATGCCATAATTCAATGTTTTGTTGCAATGTACTGAACTGGAAGGTTAGAACTTATATTTAAATCCCTCCCATGCCTTTACTTTCTATGCCATAATTCAATGTTTTGTTACAATGTACGAACTGGAAGGTTAGAACTTATATAATGCCTTTACTTTCTATGCCATAATTCAATGTTTTGTTACAATGTACTGAACTGGAAGTTTAGAACTTGTATATAAATGTTTTCATTACAAATAAAAACTATGGTTTGAATTGCTTCAAGGACTATGAGAAGAGTTTATATAATAGGTTTCCTTGGTTTGAACACAGCACAATGCCAATTTTGCTAAACATAGGAACGTTTTTTTTAAATTTCTTATTAATATACCATCTTAATATACAAAGGACTCCTGGTAGTTAAAAGTTGTCATAGTTACCTAGAGTTCATTATAAGATGGGTGTTTAGATAATAGATAAACTAAATAAAAAATTAAAATATCCACTGAAAATAATCAACATCTCTAATCACAAGCAGAAAAAAGCAAGATAATGCAAAACATAATTTAACTTCACATACTAGAACAGTGATGGCAAACCTTTTCGGGACCGAGTGCCCAAACTGGAACACGCATGCATATGTGTGCATGTGTGCATGCCGGAGCACCAGAAACCCGAACACCAGCTGCCCGGCGCATGTATGCCTGTTTTTTGGCTGTTTTCAGGCCATTTTTTGGACCATTTTCAGGCCATTTTCGGAAACCAGAAGTGCAGCTGGCGACGGAGTGCGTGCCCACAGAGAGGGCTCTGTGTACCACCTCTGGTACGTGTGCCAGAGGTTCACCATCATGGTACTAGAACATATTTACATTAAGACCCATGAGGGAAAAGAAGAAAGGGAATGTGAGAATAATGTTTGTTCTCCAGTTGGAAAACCAAGGTTTTATTCTAAGTATGTTTGAACTACATTTCCAATTTTCAACTCTTTATAGGAGTTATCCCAACCCCAAACAATATATTTTAAATACTGTAGTATGTCAAAAACTTTTATCAATGAAAATTCATACCTGACTAAAGCAAGGGCTCTGTTTACTCTCTTCTCAAGGCCAGTTGTTCCTAGAGCTTTCCATGTCATCCAGAATTTAAATGCATCTGCTCTTCTGCTACACTGAATGGATTTATCACCTGTGTCATAACTGATGTCATAAAATTTGTCTTGTTGGAACAGATATGAGGCATTGGCAGAGTAGCATCTCTTAAGCAAGCCCTGTTTTAGATGTAAAACAAAATGAAACAGGATTAAAAATCTTTACTGTATTCAGGATAACACATTAATTTCTAGCATATAAGAAAAACAGCCAATATTGCATAACTTACCATCTTTAGAAACAAAATGACCATGAGCAATTGTTTTAAAATATATATATATAAAAACATAATGGAACCACAAATTCAGCAGCGCCAACATTCTTCAAAAGAAAGGGACAGGATTTAAAGTTGTTGTTTGAGTAGTCAAATTATCATTTTAGAAACAACACAGTTTTTAAAGGCCACGGCACTGGTGTAAGTATTATAGACTTTTTTAAAGGTAAACCTTTACTACTTTAAGAACCTAGTTAAAACTCAATAGTCTTTTCTTATTCCAAATTTCTATTTTAAGTTAAAAGAATTGCTTCAGTTGCTTCTTATTGCTTCACAGCTAAAGGCACTCGAGATACTATTGTACAAAGTAGTGGGAGTTCCACCTCATTTTTTTGTGGCCCTTGCTATCTCTTGATTACTAAGAATCACAACGTATTCAACTATAGATTGAATTAGATTGAAGGCCACCCCAACGATGCCCTTGAAGTGATGTCCCAGTGCCTGGAGGCCGTGCGGATCTGGATGGGGAGGAACAGGCTCAAACTCAACCCTTCCAAGACTGAGTGGCTATGGCTCCCGGCATCCCGATATAGTCAGTTGACTCCATCACTGACTATTGTGGGCGAGTCTTTGGCCCCCACTGAAAGGGCTCGCAATCTGGGAGTCCTCCTGGATAGGCAGCTGTCTTTGGAGGAACATCTGACGGCTGTTACCAGGGGGACCTTCTGTCAGGTTCACCTGATTCGCCAGTTGCGGCCCTTTCTCGATCGGGATTCCTTGTGCACAGTCACTCACGCCCTCGTCACCTCTCGCCTTGACTACTGCAATGCTCTCTACATGGGGCTCCCCTTGAAGAGCACCCGGAGGCTCCAACTGGTCCAGAACGCAGCAGCGCGGGTAGTGATGGGAGCAACAGGGCGCTCCCATGTAACACCACTTCTGCGCGAGCTGCACTGGCTCCCGGTGGTCTTCCGGGTGCGCTTCAAGGTGTTGGTTATCACCTTTAAAGTGCTCCATGGCATAGGGCCTAGCTATCTGCGAGACCGCCTGCTGCTACCGACGACCTCCCATCAACCTGTGCGCTCCCACAGAGAGGGCCTTCTCAGGGTGCCATCAGCCAAACAATGTAGGCTGGTGACCCCCAGGGGGAGGGCCTTCTCTGTGGGGGCTCCTACCCTCTGGAATCAGTTGCCCCCTGAGATAAGGAGAATCCATGACCTCAATGCCTTCCATCGTGCCCTTAAAACCCATCTTTTCCAGCAAGCCGGGCTGGTTTAAGAAGAAATTTTTAAATTCTTTTAATCAGTTTGTGACTTCTTAACTTTTGGGCCAAATTTATATATATTTTTAACTGTTTTTAATATTTGTATTCTATGTTCTTATCTTGGCTGTACACTGCCCTGAGTCCTCAGGGAGAAGGGCGGTATATAAATTGGAAATTAAATTAAATTAAATTAAATTAAATTTTTATTTTAAAAATAATTTCAATTTCCACATTTAGAACCACTGGGTTTTTTCCCCTAAAATAAAACCAAATATTTTCAAATTTCCTTTTAGTTCATGTTTCTTTTCTGGTAGATCTGATGGCAGCAAAACACCCACATTTACTCTTCATAGGATCTACAGTTGAATGTTTTGTGATCCTTTGTTACCTAAAGATAGCAAAGGGCCACAAAGAGAATGAGAGGGAACTCACAGCACATTATACCAATTTGATACAGGTAGTTCATGACTTAAAACTGCAGTTAAACCCAAAATTTCCATTGCTAGGCAAGACAGTTGTTAAATGAGCTTTGCCCCATTTTACAATCTTTGTTGCAAAAGTTGTTAAGTGAATCACTGCAATTGTTACATTAGTAACATGTTAAGTGAATCTGGCTTCCCCATTGACTTTCTCTGTAAGGTGATAAAACCTCAGGACACTGCAACCATAATAAATACATGTACTTGCCCAGTGATAGAATTTTGATCATGTGATTACAGAGAAGTTGCAACTGTTATAAGTATGAAAAATGATCATACGTGACCTTTTTAAATACAATTGTGCTTTGAAAGGCCACTTAAGAAATGGTTGTAAATCGAAGACTATCTGTTAAGAAAAGTCTATTGAGTTTAAAATAAATTCTTACTGAAGCTATTAAGAGTTTCACAAGACTCCTTCCAGAATTTTTAACGACATATTGGCTTCAATGCCAAATGGAATCACTTTCACAGCCACAAAGTGTTCTAATCTCCACTAGGTTTGAAATGTTTCATTATCATCATGCCTCAAAATTTATGATATAACTAGCTCCTTTTGCACCACAAAAATAGATACAAGTACAAATCAACTTTGATCTTGTTTTAAAATTCTATAATAGACTGTGTTTAAACCTTATAGCAAGGAACCTCTTTTATTACAAAATAATTTACATTTTAAAATAAATTATTCTATTAGTTATTGATCTGTCTTTGCTCTTTACATTATTTCCATAGAAAATACCATTGCAAAAACACCTGTATTTAATGCAAAATATTAAACTACTATGAATATGCCTTGAAAATGACTTCATGAAGATCAAAGTCATCAGATAAAGATATATGAAGACAATAATGAAGGGATGCAGGGTCTAGTGCTGCAAGAAAGCATCAAAATAAAAAATATGTAATCTAAACACACTCAAGCATACAAAGCTCATGTACAACCGCAGATCCATTATTCAGGAAACTAGACTTACATTCTTGAGGAAATAATTATCAATTAATGCCAGAACTGATAGATTAAACAGACCATTTGTTTGACTGCATTTACCCTTAATGCTAAAACTGAACTTGGTTTATTTGGTGTGGGCTTAAGAGTATTGTGTGAATTTAGCCACCATTGTCTGTAAAACACTTAATGTGATATGTGAACCAAGCCAAAATAAGGAGGCTTCCTATACTTCAGGTACTCATTATACAAAGTTGCCTTATTTTTAAGCATGCTAGAATTCTGAATCTTTTTCCTCTGGAAAATAAAAATATATTATTTCACACAGTTGCAAAACTTTGTTAAACATAAGATAAGTTTTTACTCTAAAGGTTTTAGATTTCAGAAGTCAAGAATTCCAAGGACAATGCTTGCTTTTATAGGAATGTTTACATTCTCATCATCTAATGTCATATATAAAATACTCTATACAAATCTCTAATATCTTAAATACAAGCCATCAGTGAAATCTGAACTGAATAAAACCATATGACCAAAATATAGAATCATTACATTGATTGAAGTATGTATTCCAACCTGTTTATAAGTTTGAGGTCTTCTAAATTAGCTACAATAGTCTAACATTCCATGCATTTTCCCAGCAGTTTTAAAAACAAAGTTATAAGTAATGCTTTTCACATATTGTGAAAAGAGATTAGGATTGAAAGAAAGAAGCTTCTTAAGACTTCCTGAAACTTCCTTAGGGAGATTGGGCGTTGTTCTCACCTGAACGACTTTCTCGTAAAGGCGGGGCCAGCAGTCAGGTATGGGTTAACTCCGTCTGATCCAATTGGACCGAGTCTGCTAATTAAGAAGCTCTTCCTCTTCCTCCTGCCTCCCAGCTTTCAGAGGAGGATGAAGTGGCAGACCAATGTGATGAGCTGCAACGAGAAGTTTAGTGCCCTCCCAAAGACCAGGACCAGGAGGAACAAGGGTGGAACTGACTGCTGGTCCCGCCTTTACAAGAAAGGGCATTCAGGAAAGAATAACACCCATTCTCCAGAAAGGCGGGGCTAGCAGTCAGGTATGGGACATACCAAAGCCGTGTAGTCACTGGGAGGGGCCCAACCGGTCTGGTGCTCCCAACCCCGTATGAAACTGTTGGAGAACCCGATGGCCAAAGGCCGCCTCCGCCGATACATAAACATATAATTTGTAATGGTGGATAAAGGGAGATGGGGATGCCCAGGTGGCAGCCCGACAGACCTCCTCCAAGGAAGCCTGTGTGGCCCACACGGCTGAAGTGGCAGCAGTCGTGGTTGAGTGGGCAGTGAAGTGTCGCAGGAGGGGCAAGGCCTGGGATTCATAGGCCACAGCAATAGTAGCCCGAATCCAGCAGCCTAGGGTAGAAGATGTAACCCAGTGACCCAGGGTGGAAGGCTGAAAGGATACAAATAGAGCTTCCAACCTCCGCTGGGAGGAGGTACGTTTTAAGTAGATACGGAGAGCTCTCCAGACATCTAAGGTATGCCATGCACGTTCCAGGTGATGGGAGGGATCAGGGCAGAAATTGGGCAAAATCAATTCCTGAGACCTATGGACTATCGTGTTAACCTTAGGGATGAACGTAGGATCTAAACGGAGGATGACCCTATATGCATGAAAAATGCAAAGATCGTTCCTGATCGAAAGGGCCGCCAGCTCTGATATCCAGCAGGCCGACATAATGGCAATTAGAAATGCGACCTTGTAGGAAAGGAAACATAGCCCGACCTCTCTCAGCTGTTCGAAGGGACTCCACGTAAGGGATGTCAAGACCTTTGTGAGAACCCATGTAAGGTAAAGATGTATAGCGAGAGGCTGAATGTTAGTGGATCCCTTGAGGAATTCTCTAACCAAAAGGATACAGGAAAGGGAACCCGAAGCCCCACAGGACAAAATGGAGGAAAGGGCTGCTACCTGCCTCTGAAGAGTGTTTGGTGCCAAATCTTTCTCCAGGCCATCCTGGAGGAAGTCCAAAACAATCGTCGTCGAAGCCTCCATGGTTTTAATGGTCCACTGATAGCACCAGGTGCTGAAAGCCCGCCAAGTGGCGTTGTATATGTGGCAGGTAGACAGCCGGCACAATGCAAGGATAGTGTTGATAACCTTCAGTGAAAGGTAGCTCCCCTTCAGCAAGTCCCGCTCAATTGCCAGACGGTCAGTTGGAACCACTGAGAGTCCACGTGTATCAATGA